TTGCCCATTACCTGTCTATGGACCTCTGCTGGGTGCTGGTGCTGTGTACACGGGTGAATAGCGACTGCCATGTTTATGTCTAAGCGGCACATCAAACGACTTCTTTCGCATTGCACTTGTGTATGTATGCCGCTGTGCAGGCCGGCAACGACTACACGAGCCTGGTGGAGAAACCGGACACGATGCTGGCGCGAGTTCGTGCTGTTCGTGTCTGTCGGGTGATCGGGGCCGTCCGGACGTACCTTACCATGGAGTGAGTGTATGCTCGCCGTTCGCAAATTGAATTCGAAGAATGTGCAAGTCTTTAGGGGAGCCCCTTGGTTTGTTGAGAGCATCAACCCTCCACCCGTCCGTCCATCCCCATGTTGGTGGGAAAATGTGAGATCACGGTAAACATGCTTTCCGAGCTTGAGCCTTTTCTTTTTCGACATTAGTTGCAGAAGGACGTCTTTATTGTTCCCCCCCCTCCCGTCCCCTCGACGTCTACCTGCGTCTTTTTCTTTTGTAATCTATGCAAAGTATGCCAACAGTAGGCGCATGCTGCTGCCCCAGTTGTCATGACCGCTGCCGTTGTCGATGTGCATTTTAGCTTGGTTGTACAAGAGCGCCTATGTTTGTAGTTACCTTTGTGCTGTGCCGACTGTACCTTGGCAGGATAAACGAGGGGGTGAAGAAGCTAGCGCACAGCCGCGCCGTCGGGGAGGCCGTGGGTGTCCACGCCCGGACCGTCCGGAAGTGGGTGACGGATTTCTGCAAGGACGGCAAGTTCGTTGTTCCCCATCGAGAGTACGTGAAGCGGCAGCCCTTCTGCTATATCGACGACGAGGATATCAGAGAACAGTGCCGGGAATACGTCGACGAGCGGATTTACCGTCGGAAGAAGGGGCAACCTCGCTTTCGGGTCGCCGACTTTCAAAGGTGAGGTTGTTGCAGCGAGGAACGGAGAGTGCAGGTTTGGTTTTGGTGCGGGAAACGCTCTGCGCATGTTTTCTCTCCCTAAGACATGCAACAGCGCGGGTATTTTTTACGGCTCTTGTTTCTCTGAAACAATCCCTGCCTCCCTCTCTTTGGTGCTGCGCGTCAGGTGGGTAAACACCGTGTGCCTTAAGGAGGAGTTCGCCGGCGGTGGGGGCATTTGCCGCAGCACAGCGCACGTCTGGATCGCCCAGCTCGGATTCAGGTGGCGGCGACACGGCAAGTGCGTGTACGTCGACGGCCACAACCGACCGGACGTTGTACAAGCAAGGAGGTTGTACACGGAGAAGATGTTCGTCATGCGTCGCTTGATGTCCATGTAAGTGGTGTGGAAAGGCGGCGGAGCCGGTACCTGGTTGGGTAGTACGCGGCGAAGGGCGGGACGAGCGCCAATGAGAGAGTACAGTGTCGAGTATGCCCGGCAAAAATGCTGAATAAACTTGTCCGAAAAGCGCAGGCTCCAGCCTAGTCTGTTTCTTTATGCGAACGCGTCACATCGTGTATAATATGCTGTAGATGCGACCCCCGAATACGAGACAGCAGTTAAAGTGGACGAAAAAACGGGCTGTCTATTATTTTTTTGCGAGTTGGTGCTTTCGGTCAAAGGGGTATTTTTCGGTGTGCTCATGCAGGGTGCCATACTCGTAGCGCCAGCGATGCCGTTTCATCAGCAAGCACGAAAATAATCAAAAACGCGTTCTTGCGCAACAGGGAAGTTAGGGGCAGCAGTTCGGTTGTGGCCTCGATTCTTGTGCTCGTCCCCTGCGCTGTTATTTTGCCAACCTAAATTTTTATATTTTGCGTTTTCGTTGGCCATCGCTTTGTTGTACCTTGCACCCCCCTGCACCCAACGAGCCGGAAGAAAATAGTTTGTTTGTCAGCCGTGGGAAGAGAAGCGTACCATACTGATCGCGCCCTCTCTATGCGCCCCCCCTTCACCGCCCTCGAACCTCGTGATCACAGCCCGGAAAAAGTCGAAACCGTGGTGATGGTGAAGGTCCGCGACGCGCGTGATCGGGAGAAGACGTCAACGGACGACAGACGAGACGACAACATCACCGCTGCGGTCGCTTGTGCGGAGCCGGTGCTCTGGCCGGCAGTACGAACGATGCCCGACGGCGGGGTGGACTTCAAGCACGTTCTCGTCTACGGCGACAAGTTCACGGAGGCAACGGGCCACGACCGCTGCTGCACCCGTGTCTCTGTCGACGCGGGCGACCTGGAGATGACCGGTCGGGGGGGGCACTACACCCTGGTGCCTGATCGTGAAGTGCAGGAGTGCTACAAGGCGGAGAGGGTCAAGGAAGAGGCGCTCTTCTGGCCGGCGAAGCGTGTGGTGGCTGGCAAGGAGGAGTACAAGCACGTTCGCGTCCGCGACGGAGAGCAATTGCGCGGGAGGAACTGCAAGCGTGTGGGAGAGTTCAACTGGATCTCTGCCGACTGCGACTGCCACGACTGCAAGCGAACCCCATTCGTCGACTCCTCGCGGGTGCCGTTCAACCGGCGCGACTTGTCCGCAAGTGACGGGCAAGGAGACTTCTGCCTACTCCCTGATCACGAGGTGTTGGCCCTTTATTTTCACGACGAAACGACGGCGAAGGAGAACGCCGATGGCGGCTGCCAGTGGATGGATGGTCAAAAAGGAGCCGCCATCAAGAAGAAGGGGGAAGGGCGGGCCGTGCACGTGTCTGACATCATCGGCGTGGACAGAGGCGTTGCGGTGATCGGGAAGGAGGCCTGGGGCATGATGCAGGAAGACAAGAGCGTCGGGTACGCTCCGGCGGTTGAAGTCATCGCGCAAGGGCCCGCTACCGGGGACGGGGACGTGTCTGAGTGTTTCGTAGTCCGTCAACGCTACGAGCGATCTGGGATCTACTTCGGCAGGAAGGAGGGCGACGGGGAGGATGGCCACGCCGTCAAGTTCGTACAGGATGCGGTGGAGTTGTTGAAAGCGATGCCAGCTGACTGCGGAGTGACCAAAACCAAGAACGACCCGCGCACCGGGGCGGTTATCATGACCGTGGGGCAAAACTCGGACGGGTACTGGACCAACGACAGAATGTGCAAGCAGATTCCGGGGTTGATCGCCATCCACGAGCTGACGAGTGAGCCCCACCGCCCAATGGTGATGGTCTTCGACAACTCCACGGGGCACGCCGCGTATGAGGAAGGCGCACTGGTGGCTAGCCACATCCAAAAGAAGCCGGGCGGGGGGCAGGTCATTCTTGACGATTTCCTCGACGATCAGGGGAACCTTGTTCACGTCGCGAGGGCGATACGGTTTTTTTCGACACGCACGTCTACGCCGCAAAGACGCCCGAGCAGCTGGAGGAGGAAGAGAGGGAGGCGGCGAAAAAGGATCCAAAATACAAGAGGCCCAAGTTCGGCAGCAGCCTTGGAGACTTCAAAGCGGGCGAAAAAGTACGGACTACCGGCCGTACCTCAGGCCTGATCGGCCAGGCGAAAGGCGGACAGCAGCTGCTCATGGAGTTGGGCTTGTGGTACGTTCCTGGCCAGGCTCCCATTCGGGTTCTCGAGTGCAAAGCGTGCAAAGAGGAAAGGAAGGCAATAAAGGCAGCAATAACCGCGTTCAACCGCGGCGGAGAGGCACGGCAGCAGGCGTTGGATGATGCTGCGCGCGAAGACCAGGACGGTGGAGGAGACGGTGCCTCGCCAGAGGAGGGGACAGAAGGCGGGGCGGCTGGCAACCGTGTCGGCATGAGGCGTCGCTGCTGCATTAGGAAAGTTTTTGCAGAGCTCAAGGCGTTCAAGATGGAGCTCAACAAGATCGAAAATATGTTCAAGAAAGCGGGGCACATCTGCATATTCTTGGCGAAGTATCACCCAGAGCTCAACGCCATCGAGCGGTACTGGGGATACGTCAAGCACCTCCTTCGCCTCTCCTGCGAGTACTCTCTCCCGCATATGCTTGAGATTCTGCCAGGCGCCTTGAGTGGCGTCCCGCTGGGGTTTGTTCGCGGGTGGAGCAGGGTGACGTGGCTGTATCTCGAGGCCTACGACGAGGGATTGGTGGACTACCTCGAGGTCCGCGACCTCAAGAAGTGGTTGAGCCACCGTTCCCCCACGGAGAGGGGTGACTCCGTGGTTCTGGCGAGGGCAGGGGCAGGGAAGACGGAGGAGGAGAAGAAGAAAGCAGAGGAGAAGGCGCTAGCAGCCGCGCAGGAGCTGCGTACTGAGTCGATTAAGAGGGCGAAAAAAAAATTCAAATCGTTCAAGCACAAAAGGGCGCTGCTCTCGCTGTGCGAAAAGCGCGAGCTGCGCCCGCGGTCGCGGTCGCCTTTAACTTTGAAGGAAGCGTTTAGGTTGTTGGTGAGATTCCTAGGAAAATAAGCTGTCCGAAACGCGCAAGCGTGGACGGAGGTGTGTGTCGTGGTGTTTGTGTTTTCGTATTTGTGGTGTTCACTTTAATTATAATCATTTTTGTGTGTTTGTGTCGTGGTGTTCGCTTTTGTAAATCGTGTCCTGTGAGGCGAGGGTTACCCGTTCAGAGCGTGTTTGGGCTCTTACCGGACATTTACAGTGTGATTTGGGGGTTCCGTGAAGAGGTTAGGGGGCCCCGTGGGGGGTCGGGGGGTTAGGGGTTCCGTGGATCATTATGACCAAAAAGTCGCATTTTGTCCAAACACAAAGAACTCATCGGATATCGACGCAGCTCGACGCCGCCGTCACGGCCAAAGCAGTTTCACCTTCCAAATCGTTTTTGTTTGAAAGTTATCGCTAAAAAACAAAATGGACAAATTGTCCTGGAGAGACATCCACTTCAAACGAGAGTTCCGCCGCGTTAGCCGCGTTAGGTTCGCCTCCGCCCGCCGTCGGAAGCGTCGGAACTCGAGTGCGGGGTGTTGGTGACGTGTGTTCGTGAGCGTGGTCTACTGTTGGTCTGTTGGTCGAATAGTCCAGCCATTTTCGGGTAGGCGAGAGTAAGATTGGGTACCCCTCCGGGGGGTGAGTAGCCAAAATCGGGTGCACCCGGTGAGAATAGGGCCAGGGCCGGGTAGGGGCGAGCGTCGGCCAATCAGATGGCGCCAGGAGGGCGCTGCCGACTGTGAAAATCAAGTGTACCCGATAATGGCCGGATTGGGGCCGGGTGTACCCGATTTTGGCCACTCCTCTTTTTTTTTCCTCTCTAGCTCATGACGATGGATAGCACCCCCCCCCCCTCTCTAGCTGGTGACGATGGATAGCACCCCCCCCTCACGGCCTGCTGTTGAAAAAACAAAAACACATGGAACGCATGTCCTAGCAACTGCAGCAGCAGCAAGGGCGAAAACCCATTCCCATTTTTCCCTACCCCGAACAGGCAAGCCCCCCAGAAAAACACGCGCAAGGCGCAACGGACGCCACGATATTTTTTTGAAGAGCCTGCTGTTGAAAAAAATAGACAACACATGCAACGCATGCCCTAGCAACTGCAGCAACAGCAACCTCAACCAGCTAGCTAGTTATTGTTGCCCTTCGCCTTCGCCGGATCTACCTGGAGTTGCATCATCCTGATTTGGTGATCACGATCTGCCTTTTGCTCTGCCCATGCAGCGGCCCTCTCCACTTCACGCTCTTGTCTGTCGTGTTTCCTTTCATCTTCCCGCATTGCCCTCTCGTGGGCCATCATGTCCAGGAGCTCTTTCCTCCTCCCTACTTCTCGTTTAGCTTCCACCGCCCGCCTCCTCTCGTCCTCTTCACGTTTCTGATCGGCGAGTGCCCGAGCGTCAGCCACCTGTCGCTCCATGAAGCTGGGACACGTGGCACAACGGCGCAAGAGAGGCACCAGGGTAGGGAAAGCTCTGGTACCTCCCTGACGGAGTAGCCAACAATAATGCTGCGATGACACTTCTCTGGTACAGGTTACGTCCACCAAAATAATCTTCCAATAATGCACAGCGTCTACCACACCAGGGAGTTGCCAGAACCAAGACATGGGCAGAGTCGACGAACAACCTTACCTATCTAGCCCATCCTCGGCGAGCTTATTGGTCTTGGCACGGGGCTTCCTTCCACGGTTTCCCGAAGG